CACTTTTGGACGTCTTATACAAACTCCAGAGCAATAAATATGACTCATGAGTGCACCAGTCGTTGTGTTGACTCGCTTTAAGAGTCACCGCTAGAACTGATGCCTTAGAGTTCCAGCAAAGACTCGATACTATGTATTGGATGTGACCATCACTTGTCTCTGATATGAAATCATTTTTGCAAATAAACTTCCGACTCATATATGCCTTCGCTTTGCCATCGCTTTGCAGTCTTGCGATCCTCTGAAACACGTCATTGCTTTTCACTTTCTTGATCTCTTCAATAGTGATCTCCGAGGCTTTTATTACAAATTTTGTCAGTTCTGGTGAATTAAATGTCTTCAATGGTCTCGTGAAGTGGATATCCATTAAGTCTGAAGTTTGCGTTTCAGTGTTATTCATAGATATGTGTTGAACACCCCTTTCTATATATTCTATGTCATGGGTTTGAGACTCATTTTCTTTGGTTATCTTCTCTCTCCTCCAAACTGATCCAATGGTGACTCCTTCTAAATGGGTATCAGAGAAAGCCATCATCTGTTGGGAACTCCTGTTTCAGAATCGAAACTTTTGTTTGTATGGATTCTGTAATATTCTTGGGTTACTATCGTTACCAAAGTTATAAGTTACAATGTTAATAAGTTATATGAAAAGTGGAATTACAAATAAGCAAGCTACTTATAATAGGAATGGTGTATGACATCAAATAGATTATATGATGAATTGATTTCTATTTCTAAGTTTTCTATACTGAATGCCAAACTGTAAGAGAATTGTCTTACAGTTAGAGTTCACTTCACTGTAAGAGTGATGAGTGATATGATAGGCATATGGAGTGTCCAACAGAGGGCCCAATGAGTGGTTGAGTGAGTGTTGTGTGAAATGACGTGAATTGCAAACAAACACTCATTTGAATCGCGATTTACTCATTGATTGGTGTCTTAATTGGGATCAAGTGTGAAGACAGTGATTGGTATGGAGTTCGCAGAACTCATCAAAACCCCGAAATTGGATGCAATCCGAGTGGCGTATCCCATCGACCAGTCCATGGAGGCCACCCTTTGCATCACTAGTCACCACCTGATTGTCTCCTCCAGAAGTGACACAACGCAAGAGTTATGGGTATTATAACTGCAATAGTGTGCGAGCCATGAGACCACCAATTGCTATGTCTTGACCACCAATTGCTATGTCTTTGTGTGACAGCTGTTGCACTCAATGGTGGACATCGTTGAGCGCAAGCCTAACGTGAACTCCAGCGGCGGAACAGTTGTGCTGAAGTGCAAAGACTTTCGGATCATTGAGTTGGAGATCAACGGATGGATGGAATTCAATAACGTCTGCAATTCGATGGAGTGGTTGTCCAACTTAGACGACCCCCGCCTCCTGTACCCCCACTTCTACCGAGCGATGTATGATTTGGTCGAAAACGGATGGAATGCCTTCCGAATTGAAACCGAGTTCTCCAATCTTCTCATGTTTTCGGACGACTGGCGGATCAGTTATGTCAACAAAGACTTCGCTGTAATGTCTGCCATATATGTAGTGTCCCTCCCATTCACTTACAGTCGAGTTGAATGCATTTGCCATTAGGTGTGTCCCTCATATCCGGAAGCAGTGATAGTTCCCAAACCTATTGACGACGACTGTCTCGCATCCATCGCCTCCTTCCGATGTTTGGGTCGGTTCCCAGTTCTCAGTTATTTCCACAGAACTGCTAAAGTATTGTCAATGCATTCAAATGAATGGAAACTTAATTTTTATGAACTAATTGTTTGAACCCATTATCAGACGGTTTTGTTAAGAAGTGGTCAGCCGATGGTCGGAACCAATTCCAAGAGATGCAAAGACGACGAGAAATTAATTAATACAGTATTAGGTTCTGGAAAGAGGGGTTATATCATAGAAACGCGAACTCAAAACTTGGCACAACTCGCGCGCA